TTACAACACATTTTCAAAAGCCGAAACATTCTCCCATTGGGCAATCTTACGGTTCGAATCATTCTCGACAAGTGGAATTATCTGCGGCTATCGTGAACGATCTAATCATATCTCTGGGTTTACCTTTGTCAATTGTAGATCGGTCGGCATTCATTAATTTCATGAGCAAAGTTGATCCGAAGTTCACCGTCACAAGCCGACGAACTCTAACTCGAAAGACGATTCCCATTTTGTATGAACAAATGAAAAATCGGTTGAAAATGCTCTGCACAACAGCAACTTTTCTATCGTTGACGTTAGATGTGTGGACGGACAGAAGAATGAGATCGTTTTTTGCCGTTTCAGGTATTATCTCTTTTTGGAAATATCATCTCTTGATTTGATCGGTCCTTCGCTTTATAGCACACGCCATCGTTGATGGTAATTTTAGATCGTTTGTTGTATGTTTTACTCCCTTGTGGGGGAGCCACTCAAGTTCGTTACTGCTTGAGAAATATGAAGAGATTGTCAGTGCGTTTGGCATTAAAGACAAGGTTATTCGCTTGGTTACCGACAATGCCGCAAACAATATTAGCGCGTTTCAAGACATCATTATTCCTGGTTTTGAACAGTACTTCATTCAAGATGAAAATGAGTACACGAGTGATGAGAACGATGATATCCAAGCGAATGATGGAGATATTAGTGACGAATATGAATATCCACCGGAGCAACTATCAACAACCACCTCTTCGCCGAATACAGATTTAACCTCGGAAGATCTCATTCAAGAATCACTGAAGAGATTGATGGAGAACAACGAGGCTTTTCGAATCCCTTGCTTTGCTCACACCATTCAGCTGGTCGTGAAGGATGGCTTGAAGCAATGCCAATCAATTATATATGCGTTGGAAAAGGTTTCTGCGATTGCCAAACTTGCTCACACCAGCACAAAATTTGCAGAAAGGTTAGATGCGATGAAAGTATCTATTCCTCGAGCAGTCATCACAAGGTGGAATTCTCAGTTTCTAACGGTGGAACGAATCCTTACTATACCATCTATTGAATTGAATGAAACCTTGGTTCAATTGAAATACAAGCATTTGTGTTTGAATGCGCGTGATTTATCCATGCTCCAAGAGTTTGTTTCCTTGTTATCGTTGCTCGCGCAGGCAACAACAGCTACTCAACGTCAAAAAACACCATCTATTTCATTTGTTGCACCCAGCATCTTAGCTATCTATTTCGACTTATTGAATGAGAAAAAACACGTTCAGCACACCACAACGATATGTGATGCATTGTTATGTTCCTTGATATCGAGATTTGGCGGATTACTCGAACAAATGGAGATCGATGTTACCGGTGTTGGTGTTAATTTTCAAATTAACAAAAAGTTCTATGATCTCTATAAAGATCCTGTTTTTCTTTTTACACCTTTCCTCGATGGCATGTTCAAAGTTCGCTGGATTACGGAGTCTTTGCTTGATGACTCGTCGAAGGAAAGGTTATGTGAAAAAGTCAAGAAACTAGTGTTCGATCACTGTTTGCTTATTGACCATGGCACACTTGATGTTCAACTCGTTGATCCAACTGTAACCGAATCACGTCAAGAAGTACAAGGTACTTCGTCTTCAAGTCTAACGATGGTCAAAAGAAAATGTCTCTTTGGAAATATCGAACATGATCTCACACAGATCAAGAAGCCGAAAACTGTCGATTCCTTTAATTACATCAAAGAAGAGATATGTCGATACATCAATGATGATGACAATAGTAATATGGTTTTGATCAATTCGACAACCTCTCATTCGTACAAAACGTTGGCCAAATTAGCTGTCAAATATTTATGCATCCCAGCAACATCAGCTGCTGTGGAAAGAGTTTTTTCTCAGAGTGGTTTCCTCTTTCGTTCTCATCGTGCACGAATGTCCCGAAAGACTCTGAAACAACTTACTTTATTGAAATGTAATGATGGTATTGTGTAACGCACTTTTTTCGGATGATACATATTCCATTGTCATTGTAAAATCAACTGGCGATGTTTGTGAATGTGAACAGATTTGTTTTTCAGTTATTTTTTGTTGCATCAGTGAAAATATTTGTTATGAACCTACTATTTTTTTGAATAATAGAAGTATTGACTTGTTGAAAGTTCCATAAAAAACATGCTGCAGAAACGATGGTTTTAAGCGAACTTTGAATCAAGGTGACTTGACTTGAAAGCATCAATGACTTGACTTGACTTGACTTGAATAGTTTAGTGAAAGATCTTGACTTGACTTGACTTGAATAGTTTAGTGAAAGACCTTGACTTGACTTGACTTGGCTTGTTCATCTTAACTCATGACTTGACTTGACTGGACTTGGAAAAACCTCTGACTTGCCCATCTCTGAGGTGGAGAGTTTGTACATACAAGCTGTAGCAGTTGAGTTTTCACATATTTTTCTGGGAAATGAATTTTACGATCTTGAAGCCACTTTTGAATTTCTCCTTTTGTCGAAGAACGCTTTGGAATGATTGATTCTTTCGTGAGTGTATTGTGCCATGTTGCATTGTCCAAACAAATAGCAATTCTTTCTTTTTCGCCTATGAAAAATGTATAAAGTACCAATCATCGAAAATTTGGTTTGGAATGTGTTAACTCATCAATCTCCTCTCTTAGTGCTGCATAGGTTGAATCTAACCATAAAAGAAAATGCGCCGAATCCATATTATTGATTTTCAGTGCACGACCAAATATCATCTGATGGAATATGATAGCCTTCAACACTTATAAGTGCAGACACCGCCAGACGAGATCCTATAAATAAGAAAAGTAATAATATATGAGAGAATGATTTATGAGTGATGTTACAAATTACCTCTTCCTTTTTAATTTCCCCTTTGCCTTCTAGAGTTCAAATGGATCTTTTGACCTCTCGAAGGTTCGGCCACGTTTCATCATGATAATTCAAATGAACTTTTCCTGTTCTTCATTCGTCAACAGCTTGAAAATATTTTGCTGTTGCCGCTACGAAAGCTTGTGAATCTAACGGAATTTTTACCGTAGATGTTCGTTGATAAATGAAACCAAGCTAAGAAATGGAAACAAGAACGCAATATTTTCTTTCTTGCATACATCAAAAGCAAGTACTTCAGTTACACCCTTCATTGTTTTACGTAATGTACTTGCAGAACGAATAGAAAAATCATTATATTGCTCGTTCAATCTTTTTAACAATTTCTCAGAAGTTGGATTTATTTTTTCTTGAATTAATTTATGAAATTCAACTCTAATTAAATCTTTTCCCTGTTCCGATAGAGCGATCTTTCGATGTCCAGAATGTCCTAGAAGAAGAATCGATTTTTTCCTTGTTTCAATAATAGATTAAAGCTGTTACTTTTCTTTTGAGGAGACAATGCTTGAGGAATAGGTAGATTGATTTTATTTGATGAAGAAGCAGCCGAGGTAGTATGTCAACGACAAAAACTTTTCGCTGGTGAATTAGATCCTGAATATTGACGATGTTTGAACGTTGGCAGTGAGATCGTGCGATTACGAAGATCTCTAACGTTGACATCCATTTCACTTTGATCTTTTGTTTCTTGCTGTTGTTGATCTATTTCTCTCTCTCTCTCAAATGGTGTAATTCTTGCTTTAATCTGCGGACGGATCTTTCAGAAATATCTAACATTTTCAAGAGGAATTACAGGACCATTTTTTTCGTTTTCAACAAAATTAATAATGTGAAACATTAATTGTTTTACTTCTTGAGAAAACTCATAACCTTTCGGCATTATGAATAAATAATTGATCTAAAACAGAATAATATGTTTCCAAGAGGAAAGGCTAAAACAATTTTCATACATACGTATATTGTTAACTCTTATTTTAATGTGATCAAGAGAAAACTTTTGCTTTTATTTAGAAACAAAAACTGAGGTATTTATAGATCGATAGGCGCTTAGACCGCAAACATAATTCACTCATAGGGTACTGATGACAAACACTTAAATCTAAATGTTATTACTGAGATCGCACCTCGAGAAGATATCACAACTTTTTACATCCAGGGCAACATTATGATCTGATCCAGGGATTGGATCATAACATATATCTTGTTTTCTCTTTTCTTTTATATTCTATTCTATTTTTTTCTTCTTTCTTTCTCGTGTAACATATCGACATGTTGATATTGGAAGAAAGATATCATGTCTCGAACCGTAAATTTCAAAGAGAATAAATCCTTTTATGTTTATTAGCATAATCAAAAACATATATTCGAAGTAATTTTTTGTTTTTCAAGAAAAAGTGTACTACATGAAATTTCTCTTTTAAAAGCTGTAGGATTCCCAAGGAAGCAATAATCAAGAAACTGCTTATATACCATTTTGAAGAGAACATGTTCGGGTATATAATCCGCAAAAAAAACATTCCCTTAAGTATTCGCTAATATGCTCTTAATTTTGTAGACTACAGGTGGTCTCAAAAAGTAGCTGTGGAGTTCACTTTTTCTACATGGGAATGTACCCCCACTCGTCGCCTATTGAACGGTGAAAACCACAGATCGCTACGACTTTCCATTCAGGAGTTATATACTTTTCTTCAATCGGACTTCTTTAAAAATTCCAGTAGTAGTTTTGATATGGAATCTACGTTAGATTTTTGCTCTGATGACAAATAAAATGGTGATGATAATGTGTCGAATGAATCCTCAAGCAGTTCCACTGATGACTCCGATCATACAGAAAACACCTTATTACCATATGGGCTTGAGAATTTTACACTTGATTACATGCAACGTGCCCTTGAATTTTACGATGCAATTGATCCTGTAACTCAAGAATGAAAATATACATACAAAGGTGTGAGACGATTTTTCCCACGTGTTATTCATCAAGCATATCTGTCACGACTTCGTACATATTTACAAAATAACGGTACAAGGAAACAAAACATTGATTGCGTAAATAACTATCTGTATGAAACATTCGAAAATGCTCGATCTCGATATCTTGCTGTACATGATAATGATATACGTCGTTGAGGACGTGAGAAAGCTATTGAAATTTCTTTCGATGTATTTCAAGCATCGTGTAAATGATTATTAAACTTTAAAAGAAAAAATAATATTTGCTCGAGAAAAGTTACCAAGGTAACGTTACTCGATGTTTATAGCAGTCGCACTTAAATTGTTTCCTTATAGATGGTGACGAAACATGAAGTTGCGAATGAAGATACGATACCTGATTTGGCTAATAATTTTGTGGAAGAAGTTTGAGATTTAATGCCGCTGTGTAACTATCGTTCAATTCGAAATACGGATCAAACAGTCTTCGAGTTCGAAGTGCGTTCAACCAGAACGCTCTCGTATGTAGGTGAAAAAGCTACACTCTTGTCTGTCCGATCATCCAATAAAATTACACATCGATACACAGTCCAACAGATAATCAACATGGCTGGGAAATTCGTTGGTCCTTTATTCATCTATTTGCAAGAGAAAAATGGTGTAATGGGGGAGCGTGTTCGAAAGAACCTTTTTCGTGCTGACAATATCAGCGGAACTTGTTCAGCGTCCGGTAAATTAACTACATCACTTATTAAGTATTGGATTAAAAACTGTCTTTCACTTTTTATCTGTAATTCTCGTACTCTATTATTGTCCGATTCCTGGAGGGGTGAAGATGATAAACATGGATTATATAATTGTATTAGAGGACTAAAACGCCTTCAAATTCTACAAAAGCCACGTTAAAAATTCAACTGCTCGACACATCTTGTCATCGACAATGGAAAGTAATAGCCGGCCGTCTGTCTGATCGAGTTCTTCTTGATAATATTGATATAAATATTACCGAACATAATAACATACTCAAATTACAATCACTTATTCATAATCAACTATCGTCACCTATCTTCAAGTCTACGATTAAATATGCATGATACAAAGCTAGATACCTCGATGCACGTCCGAGTTCATTGAAAGCTGTAGCTGAAGTATGCTTCGGATTTGACGATTTAGAGTGTCATGTACACAAATGCACTTCGTGTCCATTCATTCGGTGTAGCTATTGTAGCAATATCTCATATATTAAACACTTTTTTTTAGAAACTATCACTTTCACTAAATACATTTGTTGCATTGTCTGTGTTTACTGATTTTAATTCACTTTGTGGAAAGTCATTTAGAATAGGTCCATTGTTAAAAATCGATAAACTCATTTCCCTAACCTCCTTTAATTGAATTATCGATAGTCGAACTGAAATTTTCCTTCAGTTACTAATTATAAAATGTGCTTTTTAGAAATATCAGATAAATTAATATATCTAGTAGTGAATAAAAGTACATGATGTCTTTTAATAGTCAACTGCTATATGAAATGAACTAATATTTACACTAGAAGGCCTTAGCATATCTTCAGGCATCGATGTTTTAATTAGGATCTACTGCCTTACCAATGATACAAATTTAAGCGAGTTGAGAATTTGTAGAGAAAATATTGAATAGATTACATAATACATGTTGTATCATACAGTAAAGCCAACAGTGGTAATAAGCGTATATCTTTGTTAGGGAAGATCGAAAAACCAAACTATTCTAGGGTATTTGACAACTCATTGACGTTTCTCGTTTGAGATTACCCCCGCTGAAAAAGCGGTTTGACAGTTGGGAATCTTCTCTCATAAGTGGATATTCAAATGAAAATGCTAGAATATTTTATGCTTTATTTCTCGTATCTCGTATAATTACTAACTTTTCATTCAGTCACTAACTCTTTTTCAGAGGATGTGAACTCGAATTAATATCAGTATACACACACACACAACCTCATCTATTATATAACATATTGGCCTTTTTTTTTGTTTTTTTTATTATGCGGAAAACTGTGACATTGTGGGTCCTTGCAGTACATGTTTGTAGAAATTAAAGCGATAGTGAAACAGTCGAAGGATAGGATGACAATAACAAATAGAGGAAGAAAAGAAAAACAACATATATTAAAAGTGATTGGTCATCTTCTCTTCCGATACCGTATGCCAGGGGAAGGAATCGAACCTTCTGATCTGTGAACTCAGATGCATAGAGCCACTACGCCAACTCATGCTAACATATTGTCCATTTTCATGCGGTTATACTAACTTGATTTGGCCGTCTCCAACGTAAAACTTTGCTTTTCACTGCTTGACGGAATTTTTTTGATGAAAGAATAAACACATAACAATTTCCCTAGAATACAAATTATTCGGTTAAGTTTTATAAAATCAAAATCCATTGAATCTACATACCACAATATAACCATAATTCCATAAAACAAACAATGAAGCAAGAAAATTTTCAAGCAGAACTCGAGATGTATCTTTCATTTCATTTTCTGTGATATTATTATATGTAACAATAGCTGCATATGGAAGTAAACAAACATTCACAAGAACAGCTTGAAATATTGTCATTCGTAGGATTTGTCGATCAATATGTTGATTAACAAGAGCTCTGATCGAATGGATATTACGATAAGTTAAATATCCAAATAAAATTGTTACTGAAACTGGAATTGCGTACGTTAAACCGAGCAAATATATTGACCTGTACTTTAGGAAAGTGCTGTTCGTAATTTGGCATATTCTTGTCGCAGGTGAAATATCATAAAACAAGATAGCAGGAACTCCATGAAGAGCCCATAGAAAACACATAATGACCATTAAACGACGTGCCAATTGAATATTACTAAAACTACGTAATTTTGCATTGCGTGATGTTGCTATAAACTGATCAATCATAGCCAAACATGGACATGTTAATACAATTCCAGGAAAAGTGAACAGAACATAGTTTCGTGCTTTACACCAACTTGTTGATGTTTGTGTCAAATCATTACCGACACCTATAGCAATACGAGAAGTAGGATGAATTAGAAGGTAAACAAGGTTAAGAATTGAATTGATAAGAAAATAAAATGTCGAAGGATTCGTTCGATAAGAGCGAGTAGTAGAAAATATGTAAACATTTATTGTATTACCAACGATGCCTGTGACCAGATAACAAAGAGTACCATAAATTGTTATTTGCTGACCAATATAAGTCAATGACATAATTCTGATATGTTTCTTTGGAATAAAGTGAATACTTAATGCTTTCTATGAGCTTCAAACTTTTATTAAATATTAAAGCGCAGATCGTCATCAATATTTATCTTTACATTTTGTTAATATAAAATACAGCTTACGGCTGACAGCGAAGGCAACAGTATTGTTATATTTATTACGTCTTTAAGAAGTATTTATGTCAAAATTTCATGATGTAGCTGTTTATAATTATTAGATTGAGGAAAAAGTTTGTACACGGTGATCTCAACTCCCACAGGACATACCTTCGATAACCCGGCGCACGAACTTTTTCCTCAACCTAGTAATATGCAATCTTTCGGAAAGAATTGATAGCAAATACAAAAAAATACAAGCAACAAATTATCGAAGGTAGAAGCAACCTTATCCATCATCAAATAAAGTTTGATTCGATCTATTCATCATCTAATATTTATATCAATTAAATCAAATACTATAATGACTATGTTGATACTAATTGGTTTGTTTCAATAGTGAATATTGTTTGTACTCCTGTTGTTTTTCTTTTTAGCGACTAGGCTAGAAATTATAAAGAACAGAGATTAATCTTGAACATATTCATTTCAAAAGAAGAAACAGATCAGCATATACACCAAGTATATATGTTGTTGTATTAAAAAAAGAGCAATATGTTTGAATATATCTCCGTGGAAAAAATAGTGATGCACAGTATTTTCAGCATTTTGTCTTCATAAATCAACGTATTGATAAAAGCAAATATATATTCTGATAGCCTATGGAATTCTCTACAACTCTCTGTATAAAGACTTTCAATTACTATTATTCAGTAAAAATAGATCAAAGCACAATAAAGGCACCCTCGTCGTAAGATTCCCCAAAAATGAAGTTTTTTATTTTTCTTCTCTTTTTTCGATTTTATTTTTCATAAAGAAGCAAGGTATTACAAAACTTACTGTACAATCTAGAAGTACATAAAATTCTTTATTATCTTGTGCTTTCCCAGCCATTATTAGCTATTATTTGATTGCATATAGTTGGAATATTATTTATATATCAACGAATAACGTTTTATGGAATTGTATTCCATGTTTGTTCAACTTATCTTTCTAAATGCTGTTGAGAGTATGGATGATTTCTTTGTACACGACGATTCATCCAAGACCATACACTCTCAACAACATTGAGGTCTCGACTAGCAGATGGATAGTTATCTATTCAGAACAGAAAAGAAAATGACTGTGATATATGCACGTGACAGTGATGCTCGCAGACCTCGATTGATGTATGTAACTAAACGATACTTTCGAGAAAATAAAAAGAAAAGCGAAAGATAAAATCGAAAAAAGAGAAGAAAAATTTAAAAAAAACTTCATTTTTGGGGAATCTTACGACGAGGGTGCCTTTATTGTGCTTTGATCTATTTTTACTGAATAATAGTAATTGAAAGTCTTTATACAGAGAGTTGTAGAGAATTCCATAGGCTATCAGAATATATATTTGCTTTTATCAATACGTTGATTTANCCAGACGAGATCCTATAAATAAGAAAAGTAATAATATATGAGAGAATGATTTATGAGTGATGTTACAAATTACCTCTTCCTCCTCCTTTTTTAATTTCCCCTTCGACTTCTAGAGTTCAAATGGATCTTTTGACCTCTCGAAGGTTCGGCCACGTTTCATCATGATAATTCAAATGAACTTTTCCTGTTCTTCATTCGTTAACAGCTTGAAAATATTTTGCTTTTGCCGCTACAAAAGCTTGTGAATCTAACGGAATTTTTACCGTAGATGTTCGTTGATAAATGAAACCAAGCTAAGAAATGGCAACAAGAACGCGATATTTTCTTTTCTTTCTTGCATACATCAAAAGTAAGTACTTCACTTACACCCTTCATTGTTTTACGTAATGTACTTGCTGAACGAATAGAAAAATCATTATATTGCTCGTTCAATCTTTTTAACAATTTCTCAGAAGTTGGATTTATTTTTTCTTGAATTAGAAGAAGAATCGATTTTTTCCTTGTTTAAATAACAGATTAAAGCTGTTACTTTTCTTTTGAGGAGACAATGCTTGAGGAATAGGTAGATTGATTTTATTTGATGAAGAAGCAGCCGAGGTAGTATGTCGACGACAAAAACTTTTCGCTGGTGAATTAGATCCTGAATATTGACGATGTTTGAACGTTGGCAGTGAGATCGTGCGATTACGAAGATCTCTAACGTTTACATCCATTTCACTTTGATCTTTTGTTTCTTGATGTTGTTGATCTATTTCTCTCTCTCTCAAATTATGTAATTCTTGCTTTAGTCTGCGGACGGATCTTTCGGAAATATCTAACATTTTCAAGAGGAATTACAGGACCATTTTTTTCGTTTTCAACAAAATCAATAATGTGAAACATTAATTGTTTTACTTCCTGAGAAAACTCATAACCGTTCGGCATTATGAATAAATAATTGATCTAAAACAGAATAATATGTTTCCAAGAGGAAAAGCTAAAACAATTTTCATACATACGTATATTGTTAACTCTTATTTTAATGTGATCAAGAGAAAACTTTTGCTTTTATTGAGAAACAAAAACTGAGGTATTTATAGATCGATAGGCGCTTAGACCGCAAACATAATTCACTCATAGGGTACTGATGACAAACACTTAAATCTAAATGTTATTACTGAGATCGCACCTCGAGAAGATATCACAACTTTTTACATCCAGGGCAACATTATGATCTGATCCAGGGATTGGATCATAACATATATCTTGTTTTCTCTTTTCTTTTATATTCTATTCTATTTTTTTCTTCTTTCTTTCTCGTGTAACATATCGACATGTTGATATTGGAAGAAAGATATCATGTCTCGAACCGTAAATTTCAAAGAGAATAAATCCTTTTATGTTTATTAGCATAATCAAAAACATATATTCGAAGTAATTTTTTGTTTTTCAAGAAAAAGTGTACTACATGAAATTTCTCTTTTAAAAGCTGTAGGATTCCCAAGGAAGCAATAATCAAGAAACTGCTTATATACCATTTTGAAGAGAACATGTTCGGGTATATAATCCGCAAAAAAAACATTCCCTTAAGTATTCGCTAATATGCTCTTAATTTTGTAGACTACAGGTGGTCTCAAAAAGTAGCTGTGGAGTTCACTTTTTCTACATGGGAATGTACCCCCACTCGTCGCCTATTGAACGGTGAAAACCACAGATCGCTACGACTTTCCATTCAGGAGTTATATACTTTTCTTCAATCGGACTTCTTTAAAAATTCCAGTAGTAGTTTTGATATGGAATCTACGTTAGATTTTTGCTCTGATGACAAATAAAATGGTGATGATAATGTGTCGAATGAATCCTCAAGCAGTTCCACTGATGACTCCGATCATACAGAAAACACCTTATTATCATATGGGCTTGAGAATTTTACACTTGATTACATGCAACGTGCCCTTGAATATTACGATGCAATTGATCCTGTAACTCAAAAATGAAAACATACATACAAAGGTGTGAGACGATTTTTCCCACGTGTTATTCATCAAGCATATCTGTCACGATTTCGTACATATTTACAAAATAACGGTACAAGGAAACAAAACATTGATTGCGTAAATAACTATCTGTATGAAAAATTCGAAAATGCACGATCTCGATATCTTGCTGTACATGATAATGATATACGTCGTTGAGGACGTGAGAAAGCTATTGAAATTTCTTTCGATGTATTTCAAGCATTGTGTAAATGATTATTAAACTTCAAAAGAAAAAATAATATTTGCTCGAGAAAAGTTACCAAGGTAACGTTAGTCGTTGTTTATAGCAGTCGCACTTAAATTGTTTCCTTATAGATGGTGACGAAACATGAAGTTGCGAATGAAGATACGATACCTGATTCGGCTAATAATTTTGTGGAAGAAGTTTGAGATTTAATGCCGCTGTGTAACTATCGTTCAATTCAAAATACGGATCAAACAGTCTTCGAGTTGGAAGTGCGTTCAACCAGAACGCTCTCGTATGTAGGTGAAAAAGCTACACTCTTGTCTGTCGGATCGTCAAATAAAATTACACATCGATACACAGTCCAACAGATAATCAATATGGCTCGGGAATTTGTTGGTCCTTTATTCATCTATTTGCAAGAGAAAAATGGTGTAATGGGGGAGCGTGTTCGAAAGAACCTTTTTCGTGCTGACAATATCAACGGAACTTGTTCAGCGTCCGGTAAATTAACTACATCACTTATTAAGTATTGGATTAAAAACTGTCTTTCACTTTTTATCTGTGATTCTCGTACTCGATTATTGTCCGATTCCTGGAGGGGTGAAGATGATAAACATGGATTATATAATTGTATTAGAGGACTAAAACGTCTTCAAATTCTACAAAAACCACGTTAAAAATCCAACCGCTCGACACATTTTGTCATCGACAATGGAAAGTAATAGCCGGCCGTCTGTATGATCGAGTTCTTCTTGATAATATTGATATAAATATTACCGAACATAATAACATACTCAAATTACAATCACTTATTCATAATCAACTATCGTCACCTATCTTCAAGTCTACGATTAAATATGCATGATACAAAGCTAGATACCTCGATGCACGTCCGAGTTCATTGAAAGCTGTAGCTGAAGTATGCTTCGGATTTGACGATTTAGAGTGTCATGTACACANTGTTCGAGAAATATACTGAGAGTGTTGTAAATGTCAATTCTCGCCATTTGCCCCATAAGAAAGATAGACACTATGTATACCTAAAATACACTAAAATACATTCAATTTAGCATCAAAATAATCAAAAACTTGTGATCTATCAATCTCCCAAGAATGGAGTTGAATTTAGTTTAAAAAATAAAGGGGGGCGAAAATAGGTCATTAGGCGCCCCCGTCCTTTCTGCAAATAGTTACGAATTTGATAGGAGTTTGTTCTAAACGTGTTTCACATTTAATTATTTTCGAGAAAGAGACAGTTGATCATGAGCGTTATTTCAAGGAAGTGCTTCCAGTCGCTCTCAAATTTAGCAATGACATATTTGGGAACGACTAGACCTTCCAACAAGATGGTCCAAAGGCTCTCATTCAAGCGAGATCACGGGAATGGCGTATCAAGAATTTCCCATCGTTCATTGACAAGAATCATTCGCCTCCAAACTAGAGGTGTTACTTTATCTGTACTTTATTCTCTTTCTCGTTGAGAAGAGTCTTAGAAACATAAATTGTTTCCTTATTTGTTTGCTTGTATGTCCACAGGGCCAAAAAACATCCATAACAGATTTTTCGGAAAAGACATTTTCAAAGGTATTTCGGTGCGGAAACTTCGAATCTGATGTTAGCTTTTTTAAACAAAGGGTATTGATTTTCGGAAAAAACATATAACCACAGGATACCGACTATAGTCAGTCGTCTTAGTATGATAAATAAAACATTATGTTCGATGTCTAGCGACGTAATTGTGACAATCTCTCTGACATGTGTTGTACGCGTGGTACGATTTTTCTCATCTAATGGATTATCCGTATTATGTCCTTATCTCAGTCCATTTTGATGTACTTCGATATGATATATTCTTGCGTTCTCTTCTCTGTGGACGAGTATATAAACGCGTGTCTTATATCAGAACGATGCGATTGATCAGGAAGAAATAAATATGCGTAGTTCCATCAGCGCATACATCTCCTCCATCAAAAACCGTCACAGTAATAATTCATAACTGATCTTCATAAACAAACTCTGAAGTAATCTCCGTATACCTAACAACAAGACTGAACTTCTTCCTGTTCTTGTGCGTTTGGTACCAAACATGCCTGTGAACTAGGGCTTTCCAATGGTACTCAAGGAATTTTTCTAGAGCTCATATACGATGATTAAGAGGATCCGAGCGATTTAAAGATAAAAAGCGAAATATTTCCCTCAAGTACAATCTATATACGAAAACCATTATATGCACTCGTAGAAATTAATACATCACAAGTAGAAACAAATCTCGATGGCCTTCGTCCTAAACTAATTCCCATTCCATTAATCAAGAAGTAATTCACTGTTCCTATAAATCAACTTTTCGGGCATCTGCTCGATCGAGTACAAAATGGGAGAAATATTCCACAAGTCATTCAAGTCACACGAACGCAATTACCAATTGTATCTGCCTTCGCAATAACCACATATAAAGCGCAAGGGCTCACAATGAACAAAATTGTAGTCGATCTTCAATCTGCACTTCAAACATTGCGAGTGGCGTCAGTATATGTATCACTCGGCAGAGTGAAGAGAACGGAAGATATAGTCATCCTTAGACCTTTTGATATGAAGATTCTACAAGTACGACCTTGTCTTGCTCAAGACGCTGAACTGAAACGCCTAGATGAACTTGACCAAAAGACAAAGTGAGAGTATGCCTCTTTCATTTCGTAAATATGTGTAAATCGATACTTTGCTAACAGTCTAGTTTCACGGTAGGCATATAAAACGTAATATAATTTGAAAGTATCTTAAAATAATTATTTATAAGTGTTCATTTCCTTTATCTCTATTTACACTTATGTTAATTATTATATAATTGTCTGTTTTCTGGCATTGTACCAGATATTGACTATCGTGTTTTCTTTGTTTCGGTTTTTCATGTTATCATCCATAATCTTTCTAATTGTATCGGTATTTCTTGAAAATATCTAATCCATGCTGGAAATAAACTTATATACACAAAAATGCGTTAAAAATATAACATCCACAAGCGATATTTCTACGAGAAAGAGCTAAGCGAGTCTGCCTCGACAAGAGTTACTTGTTCCTAGGTGAGATCAAAATTTTGATCTGTACTGCGACATACGTATATACATGAGTGCCACTAGGGCGGCAGCTATGTTTTTTCTAAAAATTGTTCTCCGCGTCAGCTCGAATGAACGGCTCACATATCTAATGACGTATAAAATACGCATGTTAGAATAAAAACTTCTGACTTCATTTCAAAGCACGCTCATCATTCTACAGTATTAGATGAAATTCCGCAACGGAGTATTTTGAAACTAGACACACAACAGCAGCACTGATAATTACTAAAAACTAGTCCAGTCGATAGTTCTCAAAAAGACCTATCAGATGATGTGATTCTCAAATTTGGACTCGTAACTGTACAAAATGAAACATACTTTGGTCTGTTTTCGTTACGGAATTTTATGAAAAATTCAGTAGTTCCCTCGACTGAAAGGAGGGTCATATGAAAAAAAAATAGTTTGTATATTTGTCTGTTTGTGTCAGGGTCAGAGGTCAAAGGTAAAAAAAAACATTTTCTTGGAAAAAGGCTCAAAACTTCATAAAACATCGTTTGGGAGGGATCCTGAGACTCGAGGTTGACTGGAGGAGGGGTGAAGGGGCAGGAACGTGACAGAAATGAAGAAAACATTTCAACCGCGCCTGAGAGAAGGGCTACATAGAAGAGTTGATTACGAAAAAGTAAAAACACACTCGGTTGACTGTCGCATACCAAAGGCCAGTAATCCAAAAATACATTTATTCACAAGTTACATACTGGAGAGCAATCTTAAATGCTGACCTGCGATATATTGAAAGTTATTGTAGGCCTTTAAGCCTTTTAATTAAGGAGATAACCTCAAATGTTCGGACGCGAATAATCTTATCTATGAGATGCTGATGGAATGCTAATTAATTTTTGATACTTTTTAGTAGCACACGAGCAATTATATGATAGATAGGGACAGCTTTGGAGCTGCGCCTGGTAATCTAGCCAGTTACCAAAGTATCAACAATCCGACACGTTCGAATGCGAAATATATACAGAGTCTCATTTGGTCTTACTGGAATTATCTTTCTTTTAGAAAAAGGAAGACATGTTTAAAGGTGCAAATCCATAATAATCATTTATAGCGAACTTCTGCTTCCTGTGAAGAGTAATTGTCAGTCAGGAATATAGAATAATTAAAAGCAACACAAGTAGTCCTTTGACTCTTTTGAAGACTGTGAGGCGAATGAAGATCAGTCTCTGGGGACCCTTTCAAAGGTTATACTTCTGTCTTCTTTTGCATAAAACGCACATAAGACTATTTTATTTTTAGTCAGTGATTCAGTCGAGGGCATAGCGAGTCTGCCTCGACGAGCATTACTAGTTCTTTAATTGATTCGAATATAGTTATATTCATAGTAAATAGACTTTATACTTCATTTAGAGCTGACAGATAAAATTTCGATGAATAATATTATTTGTAATATGCTATATTACTGGAATAAATCATAGAAACGTTCAATAATAGAGAGAAGAAAGAGTTCACTCGATACACATTCCATATAATGACCTTTGATTGACATAATTCTCAAAGAGTTCTTATTCATCGTAAAATTTGCTGGGATAGAGCACACTTGATTTGATCGATATTCTATAACCTACGTGCAAGGAATATATCGAATAACTGCATTTTCACTCCTGATTATTCCATCGAACATTTCATGTACATATGATTTTGTGAAATCTATCATTGTATTGATACGATTTTGGAATTAATCGTCTCTGAAAAATTCTCTTGTTATTAGAATTGATACTAGAAATGGTTGAAATGAAAGTTGCCATATACCACCGAGAGAATGACAAAAGTCTCTTTTACTAGACTGAGATATATTGATAAACAGATTTGAAGTTAAAGTCATTCGATATCGATCAGATGCGAATTGACTCAAGTACATCTAAAACTTTACACATAGGAAGATTTACAAACATACATCTTTTATATCTGATGTAAAGTAGCATTAACTTGAACGAAATTACTATATAAGAATGAGATTACTGCTCAACGACATTGAAATATATCATTGTGATACTTGATTGATCGAAAGCAACTTACGAAAGTGAACTCCAGCTGTCACAACATGTCGTTAGTGAGCTCGTTATGACGTCTGATCGCATGTACGGTAATCGATTTACTTTAATTAACAGGGTTTAACCTTTTGTTTAGACGATTGATAATCATCCTTTTTATAAAAATGAATGTAAGTAACGATATCTATTCATTCTGTATATCCGCACTCACATTCTATTGTTGATTCTATGATAGGCCGTTAACTACTGTGAAACGAAAGAATGAATGATTGAATCTGCACTGGCATAATTCAGTTCACAATCTGCATTTAAATGTTAGGCATTAATAAAAATACATTGGATATTTATGACATGCCATCGAGGAAAATATATATCTCTGTCGTGCGTCCTTGGAAATGACAATTTCACCTTTATTCCTGAACAAAAACAAGCATTCCCAAAGTTTATCTCATCTCTTGTATTTATGATATTTGGTCTTTCTTGCTGAAGTTAATTTTCAACTTCAGATTTTTAACATCACTTCTATTTTTACCTGACACTCTCACCCACACCCTCAAGACAGAATAGAAGATTCGGGGTCTTCTAATATGTCGGGGGCTTTAATGTATAGTGAAAGTGTGAACATATGTTATTGTAGCTTATAACTCGTATACTGACGTTCTCAAATGAATAATACATTTCACTATTTCACTTTTTCATTTAAAAACAGCCATCAATATAATTAAAAACAATATCTTAGTATTCGAAATATATTCACTAAAATAAATCATAGAGATCAGTCTCGTTTCCATGAAAATAGTCTAATATAGAAACTTAAACTTGTCATCGAATATTACCAAGAGCTAATAAATGAGCTTGACAAACTTCGATTAAAAAGAAAGAGCACCTTTCTTCACGAGTGATAAATAACTAAAAAGATGAAAGAAATAGAACAAAACTAATACAGTATAAGTGTGAGAAAGAGAAGATCCATACTCATACTCTCTCTTGCATCATCCATATTTGTAATTATGAAATATTGCAAAATTTTCTTTCTATGACATAATTTTGCACAAAAAATGATTTATAGCAGCGGATAGTTTCGATCTATCGACCTTCGGATTATGAGACCAATGCGCTTCCAACTACGCCACACTGCTGGAAGATCGTTTCGGGAGATTAATATCATCTTCAGAGTGTAAGCATTTATTTTTCTCTATAATGATCATTCATATTTTCAATCAACGTGGTATAGTCTTACTATACTATGCAAAAAAATGCCACATCCATATTCTCTGATATCCAGAAATGATAAACACAAAATTTCGATAAAAGTGCAATATGCATTCATTTCATTGCCAAATTAAAAATAAGACAAGCTATTCTGATGCGCTCATCTATGACTTGTTTTCCTCTCGATAATTTACTTACTACGATCAAAATTTCTATAAAAGGTAGATTGAAAAATTATTTCGAATTGCACTTTTCACCATTCAATAGAGGAAGTTCAGGGCAGATAGATCTTTTGTAGAGCTTTTTTTCATGATGCTGGTACTCAGACATGCGCACTTTACTTACTGAAAATGCCGGAAATATTTCAACGGTGAAGTTACGCGTAAAACATTTCTCGCTAAAAAAACGAAAATTCGACGAAAATATAAGCAGAATATATGTTTTTTTACGATATTAATAAAGAAAACTTTGTCTTTTAGCTTTTAATCGTGATATTAATCAATGTTTATGTATAATTCCTAAAGAAGTAAATATTTATTCGGACGATGAGCATTATCTAATAAACACACCAAATAATATGTGTGATCTTTATTGTGATACCACATTTAGTAAATCAAATATCGAAGATAAATTTAAATGTGGTTCAAAAACTAATTCACGAATATGGGCTGTTTATGGTTTAAAATACATGTGTTTGGACAATTTTATTTATGTAAAAGAATTATACCAATGTATGAATTCAGATTTATCATCACCGGACGCATACATTTACGATGGAAAAATACCATGGAATAGTTTTCTAAAAATTATTCATAAGTTAAATTTAACAAAATCGGGTGTTAGAATACGTTTTGAAAATGATAGTATCATTGATCCTAAGTGGAAATGTTTCGAAACAGATTCATCTATGGAAATGTACATACATTTTCAGTATTTTCATACAACCACCGATTATGTATTACAACGTGGCTGTTTAAAGTTATTTAGACATATATCGTTTCGACGTGCAGGTATTCCTACATTACGTGTAATCAATTTAAAAGATAATGTTTCATTATCTGAATACAATCAAGTTTCTGAAAATGATCAAAAGTATTTAAAATTATTGATTGATGGATGTCCAAGGAATTGGTTTGATTTAAATCGTCATTGTTATCGAATATCAAATACAAGTATATCAATACAGGAAGCAAAATATTATTGTACTTCTCTATCTCAATCTATTGTAAATGAAAAAGATGAAAAAATTCTTGACTATATTTATAATGAGTATGATTATTTTCAAGACAGGATGGAAAGCAATGCACATCACGCATGGAGAAATCCTTATGATGTAGGATCAATAAGAAATGATGTAGATGAAGATGAACGTCATAAATTATATCGAAGACAAATTAGGGTGAGGGTGGGTGAGGGTGAGGGTATGGGTGTGTGAAGGTGAGGGTGTGGGTGTGTGAAGGTGAGGGTGTGGGTGCAGCGTACAACGGCACAGCCAGGGTTAATATGAACGGCATTCGTTACTGTTGGTTGGCTGATAACTGATAGTCTTATAGTTAATAAATGATTTTGTAGTCTTTAATAGCCATGTGCCGATTACTTGAAAGTCGGTTGATTGATAATAAGTAATTGGTTGGTAAATATCTATTTAACTGTTACATAATAGTTAATAATTAGTCATTCAATGATTTACGATCAACCACTTACGAGTTGGTAAGCGGTTACCGCGAAACTTCGAATTGTAGATTTAGAAATTGAAAAGTTGAATACTTTAAAACACGAGTGCTCGAATTCTAAATTTAGAAGTTTATAAGTTTAAAAGTTTAAAACTCGAGTGCTCGAATTCTGAACTGAAAGATTTAGAATTCGAATGAAAGTTTTAAAACTCGAATCGAATTAACGATTTCTACACTACTCATTTACTGATGCAGCATTAGATAAAGTTGCTCGTTATATGGGAATTGAAGAATAAAAAATTTCAAAAAATTGTTCATGAACTCTGTGCGCTTTTAATTAATAAATAATCAGAAAAGAAAATACCGATTGTTTCTCACTGTTAAAATATTTTGAATTTCTTCATTTGAAAATTTTATATATAAAAATTATTTTTTCAGTTCTTTATTTTAAGCAAAGATAAGGAAATAAAAAAAGATGATGTTTTAATATAAGAAAGCGACTAAGAGAATGTGCAACACATTGTGTAAAAAGAAGGAGAAAAGGTTTGTTTTTGTATTATTACTAAATGTGTTTATGTTAAAGTTTCGTTAATATGTGATCATATAATCTACGTTTTTTTCCTAGACTTGCAAAGTGTTTTAGTCGAAATAATTTTTTGACATGGCAGAACAACATATAGAAGTAAAACCATTGACTGATCTTGAGAAAGAACTTCAATATGAATTCAAAAATAAGGATTTAATTCGACAAGCATTAACTCATAAATCAGCAATCAATGAGAAACATCCAATGGCTTTTCATTGTGATTATGGTCCATTAGCTTTTCTTGGTGATGCTGCGCTTAAATATGCTGTTGCTCGATATTTAATTCAAAATGGACAAGAAGATGTTATCACAAACCCTGCAAAATTAAACAAAGGAACACAAACTATTGTTCCAAATGTTGTTTTAGCTGAGATTGCCAGAGAAAAACTTTGTCTGGAAAAGTATTTGACACGCGGAAAAGGATTATCGAAAATATCTGAAGGAATGTATGCCAGTTGTTTTGAAGCGATTCTAGGTGCGATTGCTCTCGATTGTGGAGTTGACCAACAGGAAGTCATTTTTTGTCTAATTGAAAGATTATGTTCTGATCGATATAAAACATTTCTTAAACCACTCAATTTATGGACTTTTAAAGCAGTATATGATGATGATGAGGAGGAGGAGGAAATCTATCTCGTCAAAGCTTCCTTATTTGATTGTATGCGACAGCGTGCAGCATCAAGTGCACAATCTTATCGAATTATCGTAGAAACACGTGAAAAAAATCGCTTACAAAAGTTAGGTTTTGTTATTTTATGGTTCTTTGCTATGTGTGGTATTTTATTGATCATTTGGCATTTTCTTCCATTCATTCAATCTTATTGGTGGAATAATAATGTATATCAACACGGAGAATTTTAGAAAACATCGTGACAATATATATACAAAACAAGAACTTATTCAAATTTGATTATTTCCTGAAACGAAACCATTGAGTTTAATTGAGAATAAAAATAATAATTCGATATAAACAAAACCCTAAAATTAGTTATTTCTCATGCATATGTGCCTTACCTTTTCAATTTCTCTCTTTTATTTTAAATAAGAAATATTCCTGATCATTCTTTTGTTGAAATAACATCATGAAAAACACTCATATTTCATCCAAATCACAACAATTTCATCCCAAATAGCGAAGACTATCAGAATATCCAACACGTTCTTCGGCTTCACTACATAAAAGATCATCAATCATTTCTATTTCATATACTCGAAATACAAGTAGATTACATAGTGTTTCAGTCAGTATTTTCATTCAAAGAATTTAATTAAATCTTTGTTTTTATATAGTCAATTCAACTAGAACCTCCAACATTACGTGATAATTTCCGGTCTTTGTTCTACAAGAAGAATGATCATGAAAAACGCCTAACGGTCAACCAGCATGATGAAAACGGGAGTTGAAGATACAGAAAATTAGATCGCAAGGCCTTGTAGAGCAAGTTTTTCTGTATATGACTCAATGCATTATTTCTTTCGCAAACATGTCTTAGCGGAAAAAGAAATTTT